AATTTAACTGGAGCCCGAAAATTACCTAACTCTTCGATAAAACCAGTGGAATACCTAATATTGCTGATTATTTTATCGAAAGAACGAATGAATACATTTCCAAAATGAATGACTGATATAAGTAATCAGAAAGCTGCACAATATGATTCGACAAAACGAACATCTTGCAGATTTGGTCCCAACACCAAAATGAATTAATATACATCGACCAACATCGTTCTTAATTGTACCATTATTACGTCCACATAACTGGCAACGTCGCACATGTTTGAACTGCAATATGAAATTATTTTGTATTTGACGTGAACGAAAGTATATCGAATGCATCGTATATTTCAGAAACTCTTTTTTTTCATATTTTTGATTGGATGAATGACTTTTTGTTGTAAATAAAGTACTGAAAAACGGGAACACTCGGCTGTTTGAACAATTTTGAAAACAAACGGAAGTACATTTTCACTTGAAGTAAGACAGAAGAAAGCACAGAACAGTTGAGCATATCAGCGATCTGATCACTCAAATGGGAATAGGAGATTGAAGTAAATATAGATAAATAATTGAACAAAGACGACGAACTGAATTGCTGAAGTTAATTTTAATACTTACAAGATGATTTCTCAAGTAGGCACGTAATAATGATTGTCTTAATTCGACACCATTCTTCACCGGTTTCACTGAATGCTCATCAGAATTTGTTTTTGCTCGCTCTGTGATTCGATTCAGAGCAGAATCGATACACTTCAACACTGCATCATTTTCACACAGTGATGAGACATCTCCTAGAGAAATTGTATATTGAAAGGGTGTGTTTCATATCATTATTTTAGTATTACATAGAAGTGTTTTTAAGTTCTGCGAAACGTATTGGGTCGGCAAAAATCAGCTGCGCTGCACAAACATATCTAAAACTGACTCAACGTTGATGAGATTAATTTCAATTTTGCAAAACATCAACTTTCGAGCACTGTGTCAATTACGGATGAGGTGCTAAAAGAACAGAACAAATGATATGACGTTTACGATTGAATCAAACAATCATTCAATTCGAATATTTAAAAACGATGCATCATCTACAAGATATGAAATACACGAAAATGGAATCAGCAAAAAAATAGTCACCTTTATCGGAATTGTCACCTTTCTCCTTGAGTTTTCCTCCAACAAAACTTTCCAGCTCATCTACAACTTCAAACATACCCATATCGATTGCACTCAATTGGGCCATTAGTATTTTACCATTTAATCCATTTGTTTTGCAAGTGAAACGATGACATTTTACACACGTTCCCTTCATCAGCTGCAATTTGAATTTACACTTTTTTTTAAACCGGAAAAAATTTGTCACATTGATACCAAATATATAAGCACATCACATATTTGATACAAATATCAGTAAATGAATAAGCAAATAAATATTTGAATATGGATATACATAAACAATTTTTAAGTTGGTTCAAAAATGCAAATAAATTGAGAAATGAATTTGGACAATTAAACGAAAAACTAACTGAATAAGTGAAATTAAANAGCGATAACAGAGTATGTGCTTGCAGCGAGGGGGTGAAACTGCTGGTGAAATAAGTAAGTAAATAAAGCTGAACATTATTCCACACACAATAAAAATGATAAAAAAATACAGTTACAGGTACGTACGTTATCAAAAGTTTGTGTTTGTGTGATCTGAACTAAACTGATTTGATCGATTTCATGCGGAAGATAACTGCGTAATTGCAGTCGATCTGGTTGCATGTAAGGTTCTTCACCCGCTGAAAGACGTATGGATGTAACATCAGCCATGCCTGAAAATAGCACAATTCATCATAAAAACCAATAATGCTTCAAAATTTAAACTGTTAAAATCGCTAATTAAACGCAGACGTATAACGACTAGATCTGGGGACTGCCAAATCATAATATGCTATTATATTAATTCTAAATATGAAAAGAAAGATATGGCAAATTAATTATTTTCAAATATTATCGGCTATCCAAATATATCAAAGTACTCGTCCAACAATAACGAAATCACTCATCAAGACAATCAGAGGTAATCGGTAATCCTGCAGAATAGGTCAAAGAAAAAGGGGGTGTGGTCTAACAGAGGTTGGTAACAGAAGCCAAATTGCACTTTTGAAGCGACGCGGT